CCTCGTGGAGAATCTCATTCGTGTTTCCCCAAGGAGCGCCGGGCCGATGTGTACTTAGATTCGCGCCTCAGATTCCCGCCAGCGGCAGCAGAGCCCCATTGGGCGACGCTAGCTCTAAACGGCCGCGCGGCGCTAACAAGTGACAAGCGGAATTAGGGCTCGCTCTGATCTGTGAGGCAAATTTCTTTCGAACCGCCGCCGCCGCCGCCGCCGCTCCTTCGCCGGCCAAGATGGAAATGCGGCGCTGATGGAGACGAGGAGCGGGCGAAAATTTGTCGATTCCTCTGAAGGATTGGCTCCGCGCGTTTGGGGAGCCAATGGAGCTTAAAGCATGAAAATTGCGGGAGGTGAATGTGCGTCTTTTCAAATTAATACCCATCCTGGAGGATCTCACCAATTTACGTTTGAAAGATAGTATCTTCTGTTCATGTATTAAACGTTGTAGGGAACAGAAGAACTTGTAATTAGAAATGAAAATGGAAGAATATTTTCACCCACTTTAGAATCCTATCACATTGCGATTCTAATGTACTTGGACATTACTTTGCGAATTGGAGTTTTCTATATTTCTAATTTATATTGCACTTTAATTGTAAGGAAATTGTATCGGCGTTATAGCTCTTCGATTAATATTGTTTGAGAGTCATCATAAAAACAGTTGTGTTTCTGAAGGATAGTATTTAACATTTTTTTGTCATCAATCTCCAACACTTTTGTAGCTTTAAGGAGTGTTCACGATGTGCTTTATGTTAACACATCGGTTTGTCTCGATGCCTATGTGAATGGTCGGTTTGTCTCGATGCCTACGTCTCGATGCCTTGCTGACACTACATTTTTGAAGTTCTGACATGTAAATGCTAGAGGGTAAGTAGATTGTGCTTACAGAAGTAAATGTCTGGGTAGGCCAATATACGTAGTCTTTTTAAATTTACAATTACTGTCTCTTTAATTTTTATAATAGGTCTGCTCACAAAGTGTTAAGTGAAAAAGTTTTTTCTATTTTAATCGCAGAAATGTAGCATGTTGACTCTAGTTCAAAATTCATAGATGCACTCTTCATTCCAGTATATTATATCGCCGATGTTCTCGAACTGAGAATAATTTAGTACAACTATGAACAATAACATTTTAAAATTAGAATCCTGGGCTATTAGTAAACGTATAGAAATTTAATTTCCATCTCGTATATTATTGGCGCTGAATTGATGAAAGCATTATATTCCCTGAAGAGCTTATTAGCTTGGTTGATGTGAAATAAAACATTGCGAAAATTGTTCCGGAAGAAGAAATGGAAGGTATATTGTTAAGTCAAATCCAGCATTGTAATAACTTCTTTACTAGTTTTGAATTTTTTCTCTACTTGCAAGTAGTTCATTGAACTACGTACTTTGTCAAAGCTTATCGACAAAATTTCGATTACTACTTTCATGAAATATCACACACTTACATTACGGTCATACATCAAACTCATATTCACTGAGTCAAACATTTACATTAATTCCAGCTAACCAAATTTTTATTTTATTGACTTACGATGAGGTATTGGCGCGAATCTTTCTCTATAAATTAACTCTATGGTCGTCGAGTGTTATCGAGTTTCGAAAAGATTAGCGACTGATTCAGCAAGATCTTCCACCTAAATATAAAATTTAACTAACGGGCTTTCCACATCTCTTATCATGCGCTGATCGAGGCTCAGTACGTCACCGTGAAAAAAAATATGAGCCAGCAAGAACCGTTGCCATGGCAGCGGCTTCCACGTCCCACTGGCGTTCGCCCGTCAGCAGTGAATGTGTGGTAATTACGGGAGCCCCAGGCGGCTAAGCGAGAACCTCGCCTCCGCTACGCGCTGCGCATTTGTTTAATTTTCCTCATATATTTGCGCAAGCACGAGATCCCGTTTATCTAGGATTCATTATTTGTTATTGGTATATAGTAATATTTCCTCTAGCCGCCAATGTTATACATAATAGCGAGAATGTTCATGAAATGTATTTTTGCGTGGAAGAATTCACGAGAGGTAAGATGAAAAAAGTCAAGTAAAACGTTTCACAAAATTACAATGCTCCAGTTTATACTAGATATTTATATCAATTATTTTATATGATAGTACATTACATTACAACAGGTTAGCTCGATCGTTTATAAAAACAGACAGACGTTGCATGACTATTTATTTCAATATGTTTGTAAAATTTATTTATATGTTTTAATAATAATTTCTAGGATTTGGAGTACAAAGTGAATGCCGAAAATGGGGCATGAAAACGTATTTAGTAATCGTTCGTCGATAATTTCATGTGGCTTAAACAGACCTACACTATGACTTCTTGGCTGTCCGGGTGACGCCGCGTCGTTGGCGGAGAGGCCGACGTTTCGCCTGACATATCGTAGGCTTCTTCAGGGTAATGACTAAAGTAGTTGGTCACTATCCTGAAAAAGCCTGTGATATGACACGCGAAACGGCGGCCTCTCAGCCAACGACGCGGCGTCACCTGGACAGCGAAGAAGTCACGAACTCGATCCGCGGAAGCGTGCGTGTACAGACCTACCCAATTACGCACCAAACTAGTACTTTCGTGTAATTATCTTTGAATCAAGGATTTTTTTATTCAGTTCAGAAAATATATTTCATATCCCGTGAAAATAGTTATTTACATAACAAGTATAGAAATTGAAATTCTGGCGTGCGAGTACAATGTTTTCCGGCGAGGCGACAAAGACCAAGCCCGAAATGTTGAAATGAGTGTTTTGAAGACACTCTCATACTAGTTGCATAATTTATATTTTCAGTAAAAATTCATTAAAATATATAAGTGTACAGCCTCATTCACAATGCGCAAGAGAGCAGTTATGGTAATTCAAATCGCCTCAGTATTTTATTTACTTTGCACCCAGCAAAGGAGGCGTCTCACAAAGGAAGGTGTCTTTTAAATTACATTTTTTGACGTACATGTATTGTTAAGTTATGCCGTCTGATCAATAAAGGGTGACTATAAATCCTACTTTCAATGTATTAGTGGTAAAGAGGAAATTATTTTTACTGATTACTCAGTACAATGGAATCGTGTTCTTCTTGTAAATTAACCTAAACCTGACAGGCTCTAAAGGCAAACAAAACAGGACGAGACTTGAGTACAGGCAGGGCATTTTTAAGACGTTGTATTCTGTTTGATGGTTAAACGTATCCACTTAAAAGTAATAAAGTTTCTATTTTATTTTTGCCCATCTTCGGCGGCTAGGTGGTGGACATCTTCAAACTGAGGAGAAACAACGCCGAGGCGTCAAGTCGTGGGGACGTCGTCAAGGGGATAGGGGCGGGTGGGTTGGCACAGATAAGGGCTGCGGAAGCGAGACAGACACGTTGGTGATAGTAATGATAGTGACAGCGGCGGTGACGACGTTGGGAGAAGGATGAGGGAGCGGCGTTGCTGTGGGCACAAACGCGCTCGTGGGAACGACGGCGGGGGCGAGAAGGGACTCATCAGGGGAGACGTGGGCTAGATTGGTGACGGTGACGGGGGGGGGCGTGGTGAGTCGGAACGGCTGAATGGTGATGGAAATGGGGCGAACGGTCAATGGCAACGAGGAAGGCAGTTGGGCGGAGGTGGAGTCAGGGACGAGGTGATGGACGTGGATGGTTGGGGTTGCAGAGAGAGCGGGAGAGATATCAAAGGTTAGGGCAGCAGGAATGAGGTCGTTCGGGTAGGCAATGGCTGTTGATGTAGGTACAGCCACCTTGCTGGTGGTAGTGACAGCGGTGGCTGCGTCGTTGGGAGTAGAATTAGGAGCCACCGCAACTGCAAACGCGGTCATGGAACGAGGGCTCGGGCGGCTAAACAGAGGTGAGAGTGTCGGTGAGCGAGGTGTCCGGGGGGGGGGAGTGAGGGGTCTGGAGGTCGGTGAGGGGACGGGGTAGATCGGTAGCGGTGACGGAGGTGGTCGGGCAGTTGCGAACCGGGGTCGGTTGAGCGGGGGATGCGCGGGACGAGCGGCATTGGCGGGTGGGTGGGGGCAGAGAAGGGGTAGAGGTAAAGGATATCGATGTGGCGATGGATGATTGGGGTAGCGAAGAGGGCGGGAGCGAGCGCATGACGGCTCAGGGCAGCGGGTGATGAAGGCGTTGGCTTAGGCAATGGCTGTGGAAGAGCCACGCTGCTGGATGTACTGGCAGCGGCGCTGGCTTCGTTGGGAGCAGGGCGAGGAGCCGGCGCGACCGTGGGCGCGAACGCGGTCACGGGAACGCGGACAGGAGCAGCGGGTGCAGGGAGGGGCTCAGCAGAGGTGACGGCGGCGGCGGGTGAAGGGTCCGGGGGCTAGGGCGGGGGCGGGGGCGGAGGTGGCGCGACGGACGGCGACACGGCTCGTTCATTAGCCCGCGGCGCGCGCGACACGCGCTGATTTACCGGCCGTCGCTCCCGCCCGCCCGGGGAGGGGAAGGGCGAAGGGCGAAGGGTGAAGGGTGGGCAGCGGAGGACGGCGTCGTAGGGCGGCCGAGGAAAAGGGATGGGAGCAGAGGTGCCTCGCCGGGCGTCTGCAGATGGATGCGCCGAGAAAGGCACCCGGAGGTCGAAGAATAGTACGGATTTATTCGTAAGAAAGATACACGCGGCGTCTGCAACATTTTGTAATCATAGAATACGACACTTTTTTGTCTACGAGTTTGTTAAGGAAGCGGTTATTCAAAATCTCATTCATTTTCTTCCCTACGCTTCTTTTTTTAATACTATCAATAATATTTTCTTCTTCGAAGAACTTCATCGGAAAGTTGGAATTTCATAGGATCGGATTATTGGGAAAACATGAAATTAGAATGTCGAAAATATTAAATATAACTAAGACTATAAAAAGTTTTACTATGAAACTCTGAGTATTTCATGGTAGTGTAGACTACTTTTCATAGATCGATTGCAATCTCGCATAATAAATCAGCGCATTATGCAAGTAAATAATGCCCCATCAAAACCACCACATAATGAATAAAAGACGTAACATAGGCGCTAATCCTATTAATTTAAAGAAATTAATTTTTTTATACTATAAAACTGGTTAATAATGCGAGTGTTAAAATATTTAGGCAACTAATTTTAAGGAAGTATTACAAAATTTGGTAACTAAAATATATTGAGGAAGACATGTAGCGGAAGTTCTAATAATAGTTGGTCAGTAATTCATTGTATTTAGATTGTAGTGGGATATTGTGTTTATTGAGATTAAATTGAAATAAAATTTGTTGGAGAGATGGGGGTTTTATAGACCGCTATAATGCTTTATGGAGTTGACCAGTGAAAACAATCGGCGGGACCTGATCAGCTTGAGAGAAAAATGTAATTGAGTGCAACCGATACTCACCTCCTTGCCGTTGAGATACCAAGTGAGGTTGACGGCGGGGTAGGCGGCGGGCGCCGAACAGTTGGCCCGAATGCGTTCCCCCTGCGAGTACTTGAGCTTCTCCACCCACACCACCGGCTTCTCCGTCGGCAGCTCTGCAACACACAGCGCACACCCTCTTCACTCCTTTGCTCTTCTCGGCTCGCAAAGAGACCACTGCGTGATTGGGAGGTTGCCGCACCATCTCCGTTCAGACCGAAGATAAATAATTTTTGATTTTTCTGAACGTTTAAGGTGGTATAAATGTGGTTTATTCAAACTCTCTCAACCATTTAGGAGAGAGAAGACATTTTAAGGTGATGTTGATCGCTTTGCTTTTAGAAGAATGTGGTGGCTGTCTCAGAGGACAGCTTATTTATGAACCCTCATCGACATCAGGATTTAAATGAATGTCGTAATACGAAAACGATATCTCTTGTAGTAAAAAGTCGAATGCCGCCTATCAACAATAAATTATTTTGATCTGAAATAAAAACGTTTTAAAATAAAAAAAATGTCAAAAAATATTCAGCGGTGGAAAAGGAAATCTGAAATTCTATTTTCGACGTAACACAATTTAGGATAGTGAAGGATAGTTTTCTTTTTTTGATATTATGTTCTTGCCGTACCACTTCTTTTTGAATAATAGAATATGTTGTGACATCTATTTTACCTTGTCACCAGTTTCTTGACGGCAATGTTCAAATGAAATGTAATAAGATAAAATAAATGATACGTATTTCCTCCAATAAAAATTAAGGATGAAAAGTTTCTGAATTAAAACGAAATCATGGGCCTACATTATAGGTGTTAAAATCTAAAATTATGAATCACATCTCGCACTGGAATTCGAAAACTGTTTATGATAGCATTGGAATGATTCATTATTAAGTATTGAAAATGCCATTTAAAGAATCTTTAAGATGTTACGAGCGTTGTTGTGAAAAAATGCTATTATGAACGTATCTTAACTTAAAAAATAGTTCAGTTGAAATCATAGGGTATCGATAGGCTTTTGATATTTTTTGCTTATAACATGTATGTATTTGCATACTATATGCACAAATGAGGTTTAATCATTCAATATTTTCTTTAAGAAGACACAATTAGTTCACTACACACAACTATGATTCATAGTAAATACAATATAATACTTTCATGCAGTGCAATTCAATTTATTCAAAAATATTGAATAGTACAATGCGCACAGAAATTGAAAGAATATTGTGGAACCCCCGGCCATATGAAGTTCTCTACGGTTCCTTTAGGCATCCAGGAACATAGAAGTATCCTTAAACAAGAAAACAATTTCAATTTTGACTTAAAAAATCAACAAATATTTGTTTCCGTTATTCAACCGCCTCATACGGTGTGTATGAACTGAATGTTTATACACACGCCAGTGAGTCACTGCTTACGACACCGCAGTCATATGCAGTAAGGCTTCGGGGAAACGTCCGCTCGCCATTAAATATTTGCTATTTACATGTTGCGTTATGGAACAGCAACTTTTGTGATATTCTTGGTATGTCAATAACATAACTGCTTTTGTTAAAATATTCTATTTATTGCAGTGGTGTAGGAGAGTATTTCATTTGTTGTTCTTGAGTGGTGCGCGTGGTGCTTTTGGGAAGACCATTTTGTGAGATTTTGTTCATCAAAATTTTTGTTGCTATAAGATTCTAATAAGACCTTTAGTGATAAGACGAAACAAAATAATAATATTAAGCGCATATGCTTCAGGAATTTATTTTGCTGTTTAAACTGCACTCAAATGATAAATAAGTTTTATGTAAATAGTAAATTTCCATTTTATCGTGTAAGTATAATTTCAACATGTAAAAGTAAATAAATATGAGTGTTAAAGAGATAAAACATCTGAGTTTTTAAGTAGCTATATTTCGATTTTTGGTGTCCAAAACACCTTTTTTCAGATTTATTTCCACAAACCTATCATTTCAAATCGGTAAATCAACGCCAAAATCCACATATATCCGCGGATACACGCACTGGAATATCAAATCACTGTTCTCTGACACCGACCGCTCGTACCTCGTGCCCTACTTCCTCACATATAAAATTTCACCGCTACTTTCATCTGGAAGACGCGTTAACGCGCTGTCACATTACGTGAAAACGACTGACGCGTGAAATATAAAACAGAATCGACACTTCCATTTCGGCGTGAAACGGCACCGCCAAGAAAATAAATCTATTCCCGGGCCTCCCAGAACGACCCTCGACGGGCAGCAGCGGCAGCAGCGGCGGCGGGGCGAGGCGCGGGGCGTCGAAGATCTGGTGACATCGCACGCACGTGGCGACTGGCGCCGGGAAGGGGCGGGAAAGGGATGAGAAGGGGTGGAAACGGAGTAAAAGGGATGCGGTATGTGTGGGGTCGTGAACGGTTTGAAGGATTGGGGCGGGAAGGGAGGATGCGGGGACAAATATGGAAGCAGAGGCAGGTGGTGATGAGAGCGGGCGACAGGACGGGCGTGGAGACGACGCTGCATCGGGGATGGAATAGGGGAGTATGCGGACCGGGGGCTGCGACGGAGAGAGGCGGGGAAGAAGAGGGGACGGGCAAGGCGCGAG